CGGTGGTCGACGCATCATAAAAAAATGCGTATTAGGTGGTATCTTTGACCACTTTTCTTGAAGGTATTAAAACCATTTTTTTTTTATCTTTGGGTGATTAAATTTTTATGTAAAACATTTGCGTTTATCCTTACCCTTCAAGAATGGTCCACGATCTCCGTTGAAAGCCCAGTCATAAAATCTTGGAGTATATGGGCTTCCATATACCTGATACCCACTTTCGGGGATTATAAAAGACTCATCTTCCAAATACACAATACCATGACCCGCATTTCTTATCATGTTAATAGCATCATCCGAATTCTCCTTATAACGATGAAATTTACTCCAATATTCTTCATAAAAAGGTTTATCTAGGCTTAGAAATCGAGTGTTAAATTTTGATGCAAACAAGATGAAACTACAAAGCAGAAAGAAATTCATAGCAATTTACGTTGAATCATGATTTCCAGCAATAACAATTTTGTGTCTAGAAAGAGACACTTGTTAGTTAGTTTCTTTTTTTAATAAAGTTTACATTTTAAACCAAGTAATTTACTTATGCGGAAGACTTTTAATCCAGCAAACAGCTGTTTTTATTTGATCCAATTTACCAACTTCGGTTAAATCTCCCGAATGAACTTTTAAAAATTAATAAATTAATTATATAGTTAATATATATTAATTAAAGAATTAATTAACTGTTAACGTTAATCAATTAAAATTAAATCAACTTAAGAATTAATTAATGGATCAAATGATAAAAAGGAAGATATGTACGCAGAACATCTCCTTCAGGAACATGATAGGTCTTAAGGCTAACTTTGTTATGAGTATCACTAACGCAAACAAAACGTGTCCAGTTAGGTGCTGGTTTATCCTGAATTGTCGGTGAAATATATACATGATTGGGTAGACTTTGTTGAGACATAGTGATAAGAATAGGTGATGTGAATTTAGATCGTTGCATAAAACGCATCGGGTATATATACATAAGTAAACTGATTATACGTAGTATACGTAGTAAAAAGGTATGCACTGATTGGTTAATGACATCATACAGAAGAATTTTTTACCTCACATTCAAAAGTCGACTAATTTAGTCGACCAAGTCGGTTAACACCGTTAAACACATTGCAGATCTCGGCTTGGGTAATGTAACACTGATCGACGATGATTCGATAAAAAGAATTCTGCATTCTTTTTTACTATACAAATTAACATTAATAAAACATAGTACAACATTAATCCATGATGGGTTTTGGAAACCTGTCATAATAATAGCTATAATAATAGGTTGTGTAGCAATGATGTTTGATGAAAGTTAACTGAGAAACAAAAGATTTTTTTTATTTATTCCATTGAATTAGTTTAACAGCAAAACACAACGGAAATTTTTATCAAATTTATAAATGAATTGGTTTTAAGGAAAAAAAAAACACCAAATACTATTCATCAAGTATATACATTTCTCATAATTAATCCGCATTATTTATCAATTAAAATAATTTTAAAGGTTAATACTTAACTAGTATGAACGAATTGCAAAAGAATTTATACGTATGCGGACAGATGTATATAATATATATATATACTGTATATATATTTTTTTTTAAATCTTTTTATAATTACCGTTACAAAGCAGATGTGCAGTAATTTCGTCCATTAAATAATAAAATAGTTTAGACCAATGCGTTATGATAAAAATGAACAATCTTTAAAATTGACCAACAATGCCATATACATTCTCACTTTTAAGAGTAAATAAAAGTATTAAATTAGTAATGAAATAGTTAATATAAAAAAAGGTAAAGTTAAATAATTGAACAAATACCGTAGCTTTCGATGATGAACCAGCCTCATCTGGTAAGAGTAAATTCGACA